GAATACTAAAGTTCATGATGGTATTTGAATCCACCATTCCCTCAATGGTTCCAGCTTCATGACTGAAACAAAGGGCTGTGCCTGTCTCAGAGCCATGGGCAGCAGTAGTGACTTAAAGGACCCAATGGTTAGTCTCTCTTGGAGCTGAAATTCCCTACTCCTTTTAAAAATTTTCTTGAGGAATAGGATGGAGCCTTAAAAGAAGAGGGAGAAGATCAGATGGGTCTGTTGAGAATTCATGAAGTGTCCAAAGTCTTCTAGTTTGAGAGGGAGCAGATGTACCTGAAGGCATCTGCACCCCTCAGATTATCACATTTCACTTAATATCTGCTGGCTCTTGAGCAAGTCACTTAACCTCGATAGGTCTGAGTTTCTTCATTTGCAAAATAAGGTTTGACTAGATTACCTATAAAGTCCCTTCCAGCTTTAAATCTGAGATCTGTAAACTTGATGGCACAGTCAAGTGGATGGTGGGGAGAGGAAATGTTGTACTTCAACCTCACAGTAGGACTGAATGCATATTAGACATTTTGGTATTTATCCAGCAAAAGCTACGGCTGGTTTCCTTTTTTTAACTTTTCTTGGGCAAGGGAAGTGGGGAGGGATCGCAGACCTGTAAGGTCACTGATGTAGACAATGTCCAGTGAAGAAATCCCCTTTACTCCTATCTATTCAACTTACGGTCTTAAGAGTTGTCTGGGGCGTTGATAGAGAGGGACTCTTCTCAGGGTCACAGAATCACCATGTATCAGAGATGGGACTTGAATCGAGGTTGTCCTGACTCCAAGACCTACTTTCTATGCACTGTATCCCGTTGCCTCTCTCTGATCTCCCCATAGGGAAAGTTCTGGCACTCATTTGGGCAAGCAATGGCACTCAAACTCAGGCCTGTAGAGTTCTGTTCAAACAGATCCCCCAGACCAGCAGTAGCAAAGAGTCTATACATATCTAGGAGGTTTGCCTTGATAGAACTATGGGCCATGCCTATGTCCAGGGGTCCATGATGATGGGGTGGAGGTTGGCATCTGAGGGTACGGCTATCAATGATCTCAGTGATGATAGGGCTAAATTTAAAGCTCCAACAGGAACCAGTTATGTGCTGTTACTAGAACCAAATCAAAGGAAGTTTTAAGAGATCTCAGAGGTCACCGTTTGGATGATATGCTTATCTGTGAGATGAGCCTCAAGTGAGAGGTTTCCTGTTTAGGGACAACACACATATAGCTGGCTAGGGATCAGCAGCATGGAAAGAGGAATGGATTTAGAGTTAGGGACCCAGGATGAAACTTTGGCTCTCTTACTTGCTACCTGAGTGATTCTGGGTAAATCACTTCTTTTTTCTAGTTGGTTTCACTCTCAGGTGATTTCTAAAGCAGAACTCATGGACAAAACTCTCATATTGGTGGTTGTTTTTTAGGACCTGCAGTAAGACCCACTAAGTAGCACATCGAGCCAGCTGATTCAATTCATCTCCACAATGAAGGGATGTTGCACTCGGCCCTCTAATACCTGGTACATGAGTAAATTTTAAAATTCCTATGTATTTTTAGCTCTGCTAGGCTCAGGATCTAATTAAAAATTCAGCAAACATGCATTTATAAAGCACCTATTAGGTGCCAGGCACTATGCTAAGTGTGGGTATACAATGAAAGCCAAAAACAGTCCTTGCCATCAAGGAACTTACCGTCTAACGTGAGGGGAGACATGCAAATAACTATGTAGAAACAAGACATACACAGAATAAACTGGAGATAATCAACCATGAGTAGGCCAAGCACTAAAGGGACTGGGAAAGGTTTCTTGTAAAAGGTGGGGTTTTGGTTGAGACTTGAAGGAAGCCAGATAATTGAGAAATCAGCCATGAGGAAGCGAATTCTACATATGGAAGACAGCTAGTGAAAATGCATGGAGTCAGGAGAGGGAATGTCGTGTGTGAGGAACAGCAAGGCCACGGTCACTGGACCAAAGAGCATGTGGGAGTGAATAAGGTGTTAATAAGATCAGGAAGTAGGAAGGGTCCAGGTTATATAAGACTTTGAAAACAAAAAGACAACTTTATATTTAATCTTGCAGATAACAGAGACCCACTGGAGTTTACTGAATGGGGTGAGTCAGTGACATAGTCAGATGAGTACTTTAGGAAGATCAATTTGTTAATTAAGTAAAAGATGGACTAGAGTGGGAAAAAACTTGAGAAAGGGAGTCCAACCAGAAGGCCATTGCAAACTAAAATTTACAATGTTAAAATCTTTTATAAATCTCACTTTTTGTATTGCTTTTAAAATTCAGTTTTCAGTTCCAAATTCTTTCCCTCCCTCTCTCCTTCCCTCTCTTACCTGTTAAGAAGGCATGAAGAACATGAAAGATTATTACATTACAAATATGTATAGTCACGCACAACAAATTTCGACATTAGCCATGTCCCCCCGCCAAAAAAGGAAAGATAATATTATGCAGTACTATGTTATCGAGCTCTGTGCTAAGTGCTTTATAAATATATCATTTGATCTTCACAACAACCATGGGAGGTTACTATGACATTATAATCCCCATTTTACAGTTGAGGAAACTGAGGCAAATAGAGGTTAAGTAATTTACCTAAGGTCATACAGCCAGTCAGTGTCTAAGGCTGGATTTGAACTTGGGTCTTCCCCATTTCAGGCCTAGCGCTCAATTCCTCTGTAGTCTAAGTCTCTCAGTTTTCTATCTGGAAGTAGGTAGCATGTTTCATCTTAAGTCTTTTGGAACTGTGGTTGGATATTGTGTTGATCAGGGTTCTTAAGTCAGAAATCTAATTTCTAGTTGCCTTTTTTTTTTTTTTGGTAATGGGAGCCTTTTCATCCCAGAGTAATAACAGTTCACATTTCTATAGCCTTTTCATATTAACGAGGTGCTTTCTTCACAGCCATCCTACAAGATGGGTAGCCCCCTTTTACAGATGAGGAAACTGAGGTTTAGGGAAGGGCTGTCCAGTTGATTTAGGGTCAGATCTGGGGCTCAAGCCCAAGTCTCTCCAGACTCTAAAACCAGCATTCTGCTCAAACACAGCCTAATGCTTCCAGGATATCTAGCAGCTCCTCAGAGACCACTATCTCAAGTCAGTGCTCAGACGGGCAAAGAACCAGCTGACAACCGTGGGGTACAGGGAAAAAGCTCTGCAGTCAATCACTTGTGAACATTCTTGAAAATGAAATGTTCACCTCTGAGAGCAAGGAAGACTCTTAGCCAGAAATTACTCTCATTCCCAGGAGTTGCAGAATCTTTGGCTTAAGTCCCCTATAAACCACACCAGGACATGAAACCAACCTGGAAAGTCAGGAAAAAAGCAGTAGCTAGTTTGTTATCATTGTTATCTCCAAGACCCCCAGAATACACTAAACCCTGGAAGATATCATTTACGTCTATGTGTAAATGTACCTCTCTCTCTCTCTGTCTCACACACACACACATTTCCTGTGCATATTGTTACAAAACCATACCTTTAGTGTTTGCCAAAGTTTGCCCTCACTGATATTAATCTTTGAAGGAAATACCATTCCTTAGGTTAAAAACTTGAAAAATTGCTAGGTTTAATTTCTATCTAAAGTTGGGATCACCTACTATCTGAGTATCTCCAGTGGAACATTAGCTCCACAAGGGCGAGAGATGCTTCCTTCTACCCAGCACCTAGGTGCTTAATGAACAATTGCTGAATTGAAGCCTCTTTTCCCCAGGCAAAAAGTATACCTTTTGTTTTTACATTACTGTCATTTCCAAGCATATCCATCCTCCTCTTTTCTGGACCTTGAGGGAAAATAAGTATTTTAGCAACATTAACCCCCTTTGTCCCTGCCTTCTGGCTGATGCCATACCTCACTCCCAAGAGTAACCCCCTCGATGGGGCTGCAGTTGTTTTCCAGACCACACTACTTTTAATGATAGTCTTAAATAGTGTCTACCTCTGGGACCCAGGAGGCGTCTGCCTGTACCCACCCTCTGGCAGCCTAGCAAAGGTGCAGCAGCTCTTACCAAGATGGGAAGGGTACAGCTATACATGTCATTAGCCCAGGCTAGTTATGGACAAAGCACCACATTGACTGATGGACAATGAACATTTTTGCCCCCAGAAACTTATAACAATAATAACTGTTTATAAAAGCTGTTTATAAAAAAATGTTATAAAAATAATAACATTTACTTAGGGTTTGCCATGGGCTCAGGAAACCACGTTTGATGCAAGATAACTTCATCAATTTCCAATAGTAGGCACTTTGATATTTACTGAGTTAAATCAAATTGAATTTCAAAGACCAACTACCAAGTTGTAGGGAGGCTGAAATTTGTGTCAGTGGAGAGAATACCCACACTGATGAAAAACTGCAGAGCTGTGATGTATTAAAGCAATAAATACTAATAAATTCAGAATTGAGGGGAAGGGTGGCAGCAAAATCACACTCATCACAACATCAATGCCTCAATGCCTAAACTGGGAATTCCTGTGGAGGCATACAATGGAGCTTGGAATAGGGAAGGACAGTATTCCTCATGGGTGTTTAAGAGAGGGCAATGTCAATCTGTGTTGCCAGGAAGGACGGCCAGAAAAAGACCCCAATTCCAAACATCGCCCCTTTACCCATTACCTGAACCAGTGCTTCTTAAACTGTGTGTCACAACCCCATATGGGGTCGAAAAAAATTTGGCAACAGTAAAAGTAAAATTTAGTAAAACTAAATGCTCAACAACCAAAAATTAATCAAACTTGTAATGAATCTGAGGTGCTTCTGGCAGCGCGTGCCCCTGTGTTGCACCATACCACTCCCCTGCTGCCTTGGTTCAGAACACAAGGCATGTGCACTTTGCACTGAAGAAGCCTCAGGCCACGCAACGCCCACAAACACTGCCAAAACCAAAAAGGGGTCATGACTGGAAAAAGTAGAGGAAGCCCTTACCTAAATCTGGTTCTTTCAGGGTGATATAGTTACTAGGAAAGTGCCATGTGGGCTGAAAAAAGGCACCAAATCCAAGTATAGAACTTTATTGTGCTGCTTTTAATTATGAAAGATGTAAAACAATGCGTTATAAAACTTGGAAGTTACTTTACACAAATTCCAATTTTTTAAAAATATAATCGAATGTGGAGCACAGAAGTTAGGTAACCGAAAGCAAGTCCAATTAGTAGGAGGGATGGTCCCTTTCTGAAATGTCTGAAATACACTCAGAACCATCTGTACACAAATTACAAGAGCCAACTAAAATAACAAATGCCAAAAAGGTCTTCAAAGATACAGATGTGCTCGGATATGTCATATTTTATTTCAGATAATACACTGTAGATTTAGAAGAAAGAAAATTACGGACAGTGGAGGTTTAATCTTGAAGTCACCAAGCGAGTCCTCTTCTACCAGTGGGCAACTGAAAGTCCACAACTTCAGGGTGAGAAGGGAGTGGGAGCCAGGAGACGTTTTAGTTCTATGCCATAACTGCTAGTGAGTGAGAATAACAAAACAGGTGATTTCTTTCCACTTAACTAAGTGTTGACAAAGAGTTGATTGTGAAGCACGCAGCTGCTTCCCAGGCAGGGATCTGGCCAGCTGGCCGCTGACCCCTGCTGACTGTGTGGTATATCCTTCACACAATCTAAGGGAGGTGGGTTTGATGATGCCCCAAACCTCTTACAAAAAAAAAAGATCCAGATGTCAGGACGCAGTGAGTCCAATGCTGAGCAATGTTCTCACCATTAGACTCCACAAAGTCATGAAGAGCTGCTCTGGAAGGCACACTTTGCCCGATCATGCTCTACGAGCAGTAAACTTCCTCTCCTTAGTTGCCTGGGTCTCCAATCGTACAAAGTTAGGGTCACCATGTGGAGCACTGGGACCTCTTTGAGAGAAAGGCACTCTGCATAGGAGCTTGGAAAGGATGGGGAGAGGGACACTGGACTGCAATCTTTTTCTTTTATACATCTGTAATAGGGTGTGTATGTGTACATGTGCATGTTTGTGCAAATATTCCTTGATCAGGTCTAAGGGAGGTTGACCAGATCATTGGTCACTTTCTTTTCATCTTCAGTTTAGGAGTGTCAGACATGATCAGGCTTTTTTCAGGCACACTGGTGATTTAGTAGTAGTTATTAAATTATGCTGGAAGGCATACTACTATAATTTTACCCTGAGAACTCAAATTTGAAGAATACAAAGAACTCTTCTCATTAACCTGCCTAGCCCTTGGTCCCAGTTAAATTTCTGGAGGGCTTCCCTTATGGCCAGCAGGTGTCTGACTAGTCTGACGAGCCATGAGCAAGAGCCATGGGAAAGATGGAGTCTTGGAGGGGTTAGGGAGAAAATGGGGGACTTTCTCCTCGGACGAGCTTTGAGGAACGAGCCCCTTCAGCCCCACTCTACTCAAGGCTGACTCCTCATGTTTGCCAATGATGAACAGCTCTCCTCTCCGCAGAGCTAAGCCATCTAAGATGTTAGGATAAAAATCTTTTCGACTACAAGGACAGATGGGGTGATTTACCCACACATTAAATCTGAGTTGAACTGCGGCCATTTTGAAGGAGACGGTAATATTGCTGGACCTGGGCACAGCTACAAAAAGGTGAGGCTGGGAACAAGGTCACAGGCTCTAGCTGTTCTTCCACCTTGTTTCCAGGGCGCCTCTCATCCCCTGCTCATCTGTCCAGGGCTCTCGTGTTCTCAGTCATCCCTGGCTTCTTTGGGCCTCCCATGGATGGAGCTCGCTCAGTCCACATACCCTGCCACTGTCTAAGGGGTCTGGACCCATCAAAACCCACTCACTGCATTTCTCAACTCTCAAGGAGTTCTCCCAGGGGAAAAAACTTCTACTAAATTACTGTCTATTAAGGTGTTATTGACTGACAATAGTTTTAATGCGGAATATAATATCTTGACCCAAAGGAATGAATCTCTAATTAAGGAAACCAAAGCAATATCTACACAGATCTATGGGGAGCATTTTTTGTGGCAATGACTTCTCAGAGCCCTTCAAACCCCACTCAATCTGCAGTGCTGATTCTCTTTCTACCTAAGGCCAGCCCTGGCTCCCAGAATGCTCAGGCATTCAGGAGACTAGCTGAAACCTGAGCCCCACTGCACTTCGTGGAATGTGACTCCCAAAGAGAACCTGCTGGCTTTACTCAAGTAGGACTCTGCTGTCTAATGACACACACATATTAGTGTGCACACTTAACCACATGCTAAGTGATATAAAGAAATACAGATCAGAAAAGAGTGGGCAGAAAGCAAGGCTGGACAGGTCTTTGGGGAACACTGCATTATAAGATTAGCCACCGCAAGGCAGACTGGCATGACCACCCGTGGCACAGAGGAGGGAGCTCTGCCCAGGGATACCCTGCCGCCGAGATGGAATCAGATTCAGAATGCTAACCTCCCATCCGGTCTACTCTCCTGCAGAGTCGGCTGGCTAATCTCAGAGTACCCTATCATCTTGTCTCTCCTAGGCCTCTGTTTTCTCCTCAGAGTACGGAACATTTTCTCAGTGATCAATTAACACTGTCCTTCCTGTGCCACACGAAAAATATATGGAAGTAGCAGGGGGTATTGAGATAGACAGAGAAGCCAAATTAACATTCAGTTTGCCCAGTTAAAACCTGGGGTGGGGCTCCCTGTCTTTCTTTGGAAAAAGAATTACGGGATCTCAAATAGCAATGCTGCTCTCTGTACACTGGGCTGTATCTACTAGTCACCAGAGACTGCCTGGATTTTGCTGCCAGAGCACCAGCTGGCTGAGAACTCACTGCCCAGCTACAGTCCCACAGACCAAATGCTAAGCCGGTGTAATCATTTCACAGAGCCCTCTGAAGCACACCAGGCCCCAAATCCCTTCTTAGAGCTCACTGTTCTTGGGACTACCAGATGAAGCTGGCAACAGCTCCTGCTAGGCGCGATTCTTCTACCGTGAAGCTCCAGGTGTGCTGACAGCGAGTGAGCTCTTCAGAAAGAGGCATCTGTCCCGCCAGAGCAGCTGCCCCCAGACACAGGGCCTCAGTTGGCCGGTGGTCTCAGCACTGCGGGATAGCTGCTGTGTCTGGGCCCCGCCTGAAGCCTCCAAGGTGAGGAGCTGGATCCTGGGGGCTGGCTCCGGTGCTGGTGGGGACCACTTCTGCAGCACGGCTTCAGACACAGTCGGCTGCTTTAGCCCAACCTCCTGCTCACAGGCGGTCGGAGCGAAATGTTTCCTCCACAGAGGGGTCAGGCAACCCCATGCTAGGGTCCTTTAGCATGTTGAGTCCATCCAGGCTCAGGGGTTCAATCTGGAACTCATCATCCAAAGGAAAAAGACCGTCTGTATTAAAGTTCGACTCTGGCAGGCCTGCCAATGCGCTACCGAGGTCTTTGAACAGACTAGCATTTGTGTCTTCTGTGAGATGTAGAGAGAAGGGAGAAAAATGTGTTGGGAAAGAGATAAAATTCTATGCCCTGCTTTGAAAAACAACGACGATACTTTTGCACCAAAAAAATGAAAACCCCTTTTACCAGTATGGGATCCCAATGATGACAGTTTGTAAGCCACCTAGGGTCTCTGATCCATCAGACTCTGAAATGTTCCCCTAGTTCAATGATCACCTTTCAGTTCAGGTGACTTCCAAATCTGGGCCTCCAGCTACAAATTTCTGTTTTCTCTTCAGTCCCATATTTCTTGATTTATACATACTCAGTCTATTTAGGTTCATAAGATCAGAGGCTTTGAGACTAGAAAGTATCAGTAATCCTCTAGTCCAGCATGTTCATTTTACAGATGAACTGAGAGAGGTTCAGGGGTTATTTGACTTGTCCAAACTCATCCAGGAGCATTTGAACACAGTCTTCTGATTCCAAATCCAGCCCCTTTTCCATCACACTATGCACTATTCCTGCTCTCACTTAAAACAGGGTGTGTATATGTATATGGGTGTATGTGAATACTGATCTCATCATCGGCACTTCTCTCCTCTGTTCCGAGATCTTTCACATGATTTCAAGGGTCTGGGAGTGGAATGAACCCACTGAGCAGACATCAGGAAGACACATGGAATCATCAATCAGGTGAGGTCGGCCCACACTTACCAGTTAGGACGGTATTTGGGAAACTCCCACAACTGGAATACAGGAAATTTGGTCGCAGCTGAATGGAATTCTGCAGCCCTCTCTGAGCTTGCTCCATCATGGCTGCCTGCGAAGTACCAAAGACTCAGGGTCAATGAATTCTGCATAAGGGCAGTGATTTCTGCTGAGGACACCCAATGGTCTAGACTAGAGCTCTGTTTTCAGAGCAATTCCTCATGAGCCCACAGCAAATTTCTCACTGTTTCACTGGTAACCTGCATTGCCATAGCACCTTTAGCAGAAAGGTAAAGGCACCATCTCTTTACAGATGATGTTAAGTGACTGATGCAGTTCACCTAATAACCTCAAACTTCTTTAGGTTCACTCAGTCACCTCTTCAGTTCATACTGGCAATTCTTTTTACCAATATGGAGAATCTGGAGAAATAACTGCCTGTGAAAATATCGATGGTTCAAGGCCCTCTGAGCCAGAGGAGACATTGATTATCAAGGAATCGAGCAGACCACCATCCCCATTCCTGGGCTCTGCGTATTCAGCTCTCCTCCCCTACCTCTACAGCAGAGTCAAGAACTACTAGGCTGCTCCATTATGGTTCATCATAGTAACTGATAAGAAGGCCAAACTACCACTTAGTTACCTGACTCAACCCTGTCCTTGGATTTGGGTTTAACTTCCTTTATATGAGGATGAAAGCATCTCAAACAGCAATGTTATTCCAAAATAAAACCTCTGTAAAAACTGAGTGGAATTCATGAAGAAGCTTCTACAAATTCATCTTCTGACAGTTTTCAGAAAATAAATCAATGAATGTTTATTAAGCACTTTGTGCCAAGCAACATGTCTTTCCAGTGAGCCCCATAAGCCCGATGTCAGCCCAGGATCCAGCTCCCCTCCCCCTGGCCCCTCTATTCTCACCAGAGCCTTCCCAATGAGTGCTGCAATAGCCCAGCATCTTGCCACCTGTCTCCTGTCCTCTGTCTTAACCCTAGTGCCTTCTCCTGTGCTCCAGAGGCCATCCCTGGACCAGACCATGGTCATCCCAAACAGACAGCTCCCCTACTCAGCCCAGACACTAAATTAAGCAGTAATAAAACAGATCTGGAGACAGAAAGTACTCAAGCCATGGGAGGGACCACATGAAAACAAGAAGAATTATCCTGTTTACCATTAGGGGTTTCTATGTGAAAGTCTAGAAAATATGGTTCACACCTAAGGGAGGGTGAGGCAAAAGAGCACAAAACACTTTGGCACCCCAAGGTTTGCCTACCTGTTGAGAAAAGGCTGGCCCTTGCCTTATGGCCTGTTGTTCAAAGCACACATCTGGGAAAAAGCTGGTCAAAGAAGAGCTCTTCAGAAACAAGAGGCAAAGAGTTAGATTTGGTTTTAGTAAGAAACAAAGACCATTCTGTATTCCTTCCCTTGCCAGGAATGCCTTCTGCTACTTACATGGGGAGAGAGGAGCTCAAAATCTGAATGTAGTGGTGGAGAAGAGAGCTGGGGCTGCTGGGCGTGGGCTTGTTCTGGGGCTCTGGGTTGCTGCAGGGGGTGCTCAGGGAGCTCGTGGGGCATGGGATAAGGTGGTGGTAGCGGGGTTTGAGCTTCTGCGGGAAGGAAGGAAAGGGGACTTCTATCAGAAGGAACAACCTGGAAAGCAAACAAAAACAGAAATCAAACTAACCTCTACATCACCACAACTAAGAAATAACAGGAGAGATGGGTAGGTCTGCCGTCCTTTTCATTGAACAATAAATTTTCTTCTCTTCAATCACTTATTTTTTAAACAATTGATTTCCCTTCCTTGAAAATCTATCTCTGATCTCATTTCCCCACAGAAGCCTTATTGTCTTTCAGTGTCAATTTCCACTGACCTCAAATGTCTTAAGACACCAAAACCACAAAAATTTAAAAAAACTATAATGGGAGGATAATCTTCACACATCTAATCTAATTTGGTCTAGAATGAGGGCTTTTAACTTGGGGTAAATGATCTTTACAAAATATATTGAGATAGAGATAGACAGATAACCGTATATAAATGGTTTCCTTTGCAATTCTATGTATTTCATTTTATGCAATTAAAAACAGTATTCTGAGGTCCAAAGACCATTCACCAAACGCCAAAGGGGTCCACGAACAATAAAGGTGAAATCTCTTAGACTGTGAGTTTCTTGAGAGCAGAGGTTGCTTTTGCCTTTCTTTTTTTTTTTGCATCCCCCGTGCTTAGCAGAGTATACAGCAATCCTTTAATAAATGCTTACTGACTTAAAGACTCTCTGCTCTAGAATGTACCTTGGATATATGGACTACATCTTTTTTGTATCCTGTAAAAGAGTCTTGGTGGGGGGGGGCCTCGTGTCTAAGGGGATGCAACACTTTCAAATGACACAAATTTTTAAACAGCTCACTACTAAAGAGACTCCTCCCATGGTTAGTAAATGATGTCAACAGTATTTATTTCTTCTATTACCACCTTACACTGTAACAATTTAGAATTACAAAGCTTTTTTGTATCCAAGATCGAAGGTAATCCTCAAAACATCAGGCAATCTGGGAGACAGGGCAGCATCATTATCTCTGTGATCTTTGCTCAAGGTCACAGAGTTAGTGACCAGTTGAGCTGGGAGTAAGCCCAGGCTGTTTCCTCACTCCTAGTCTAGTGATCTAACACAACTCAACTGCTATTCATTTGTGTGGAGCACCTACAAAGCGATGACCACTGAAAAATGTTCAGAACCATAACAGCTTCAAGTAAATCAAGTCAACAAGTCAGCCTGTTTTTTCATCCTTCATCCATGGCTTCTGGATAGGATCAGAAGTTCTAATTCTTCCTCTTTAGATTTTTTTTAGTCCATTTCTAGTGGCCTCAATACCTAAAGGGCTTCATAAATTTTCATAGAGATTAGAGCTACAAGATATCTTAGCAATCTGTGACTTGCCTAAGGTCACAGTGTAAACTATTCATAGTAAAGTGGCAGCTAGAACAGAGATCTGTTTATTTCTGGTCCACTGATCTTTCCATTAAGACACACCATTCAATTTCAAATCTATAAAGAGAGATGATCAGGGAAATAAACCCAATCTGATTTAATAAGTATCAGACATCTTTGATGTCCCCTCTGGCATTCCCTGTAAAGAACTTTTAAAAAGTTTTATTACTCCTTTTATTTGGTTGTGCACAGAGAAAGTAAACTCCATTTACTATGAGCCTAAGCAAAATATGATTAGTAAGGCAAATTTGCTGTCACATAATGTAGTCTGATATTAAAGAAAAATGACCTTTGGACTGTCTACATCACTGCCCATTCCATTTTCATGTATTGGGAGTGCTAACTGCATTTGGAGACTAGTACCCAGTGATCTTTAGTGCAGTCGGCCTGTTCTAAAATAATCCAAGGAGAAAGATTTGTAGGGATTTGGGTCAAGTCTTCATTTAATGGATAAGGAAACTATGACCCAATATGACTTGCCCAAGGTCACAGACCTAGTGAGTAATAATATATCGGCACAATATTCAGCACAAGGGCTTACCTGGGAGGCAGGGGGCTGGTTCAGAGGGCTAGTAGAGGAAAACTGTCTGCTGAAAACTCGAGGTGTCTCAGGGCCTGGGGAGAGTGTAAGAGGGCTCACTGGAGGCTGCCTACGCCGACTTGGGCCGCTCAAGCTTGTGGTAGAAAGAGAAGGGTTGCTAAGTGAAAACAGACGGAGTGATGGCTGAAGAGCTGAGGCATTGTGAACAGATGTCTGTGGGCAGATATTTAAGGAGGAAGAAAGTGCTGTTTTATTCAGTGTGGCTTGGATGGAGGGGTTACTCCGAGAACATTGAAGACCTAAGAAAAGACAACAAATTCATTGTCACTCTCATTATTTCAGGCTTCTCTGAACCTTACTTTCCAAACATTAAGAAAAATTTGAGTCCCCACCAACCATATTTGACAAATTTTTAAGAGTCTTATATTTTTGGTCACCTTTTCCACTCTGAAATATATTTAATAAAATGTGAACCACTGACAGGGCAGCTAGGTAGCACAGTGGATAGAGTGCCAGGCCCGAAGTCACGAAGACTTTTCATGAGTTCAAATCTGGCCTCTGACACTTACACGCTGTGTGACCCCGAGCAAGTCACTTAACTCTGTTTGCCTCAGCTCCTCATCTACAAAACGAGCTAGAGAAGGAAATGGCAAAACCACTCCAGTAGCTTTGCCAAGAAAACTTCACATGGGGTCACTAAGAGTTGAACACAACTGAAATGACTCAACAACAACAACAAAGCCAGTGACAAGGGAAAACAATTCCACTAGACTAAACAGGTAATCTCCTCAAGATAGGAATTACCCAAGAATTTTCCAACAGAATATTACAATCATGTAAAAGACAAATTTCCATTTCAGGTTCCTAAATGGAAGGCTCAGGTATCCAGGTAAATAGCTACTCCTGGAGTCAAGGAGCTAAACCCTAACTCTGGAGAAATGTTCCTTTCCACTCGGAGGTACACAGATGAATCTGGGAATCTGAGCAGGCTTCTCTGAACTGGGGACATGAATGTTTTTCTTTCTTTTTGCTGAAGTTTTATTGATACCTTTTGTTTTTTACATGACAACTGTCTCTATGTATTTCTTACTCCCACCTCTCCAACCCAATGAGGCTCCTTTGTAATAAATAAAAGCAGTGAAGCAAGACCAACTGACATAGAAACTTAACAGTGTATGCACCATGCTGCCTCCATAGGCCTCAACGGAGGTATATTTCAAGGTTACTTTTCTGAATACTTTGCATTGATCTACAGATCGACCTGGAACACAGGTTATTGAATGGTCACATTTTATTACATTAACATCCAGCTAGAGATAGAGGAGACAGTGCAGGGAAACTAAGGAAAAGAATAATGAGTCCCCTCCCCCCTAGTAATATCTCTGTGTTTCGGGAGTGAGGGAAGTGTTCATCATACTCTGTCCCAATACAGGTAAAAGGAAGAGTTGGGGGATGGGGTAGGATTTTTTTCTCTAAAGGTCAGAGGTGGCCAGTGAGTCTAAGAATACAGAAGGGAGTAGGGAAAAAGTGCTTCCATGTCTGAAGAATTAGGTATTCCTATGAAGTAAGGAAACTAATTTTCTTGCAAGACTTGTGGAAACAGAAGAAGAGTGACTCTAGGATGTGTTGTAATATATCTCAACAGCTGCAATACTTTCAAGCTGGCCAATCAGTTTTGTGTTAATGATTACGATGAAAAGGAGGTTGGATTATTCTATGAAGGGTAGAAAATTAATGTTACTTAGAGCAAAGAAATAGGAACTACTTTCTTGGTGAAAAAAAAAATATGCAAGGATCCACTGACCCATTACAAAGACTTTAGGGTAATTTCAAGTGTAAAAATTTGTGACTGACACAAAATTTCAGGGCCATGAAACATTTATCCAATACTTCACTGCAATTTAAAAATCTTGGAAAACTGAGAAATTGGCTTTGGTTTGTTCAAACAGATAAATAGTAAGAGAAGGATGGCTGAAAATGAAGCCCCATTCTGGGAAAAAAGCCCAAAATTCAAACATGAAAAAAGTTTTTGTTGATAATGGTATCCGTGCTGTTTTCTGTTTTCGTTGATAATGGCGTTTGCTGTGTTTTCTATCACGAAAATAAATGGGGCATTTATTCTTTCAAAGAAAGCTAAAAAAAATGTACTTTTGAGGAAAACTGTAACTGATGATATTTCCAATATGACCCAGAAACAAAGTGCCAAAGTCTGTAATAGAACTCCCAAAGTCATGAGACCCAATAAGATGTATCAGATGTGAAGTAACATGAGACAATGTTTTCTGTCTTTGACATCAGTGGCACTGTTCATGTAGAGTTCATTTCCAGTGGTCATATAATCAATTGGGGCTATTATACAGAAATTCTGAAGCAACTGAGAGATTCTGTATGATATGAAAAAATGAACTTGTGGCCCATTAAATTGGAGTTTTCACCATGACAGTGCTTGAGTTCATAGTACATGCTCTGTAAAATGCTATCTGTCTATCACCCATCTTGATCACCCATCTTGTTGAGGTAGGGTTGATTCTGAAAGATTTCTGACTATTTTCAAAAGTCTAATCCACCTTCAAGGGACAGAAGTTCCACTATTAAGGACATTTCAAAAGAATAAAAGAATGCGCCATGAATGCTTAAGGCAGATGACAAAGAGAAGATTAAAAAATATTTTGAAATATGACTACTGTGGAAATATGATTGTACATGCAAAGCCTATATCCAATGGCATGCTGTCGTTGGGAGGGGGGAAGGGAGGGAGGAAGAAAAAAATTTGGAACTCAAAATCTTATGAAAGTGAATGTTGAGAAACGAATAAATAAATAAATAAATTTTTTGAATGTCACAGGAAGTCAGTATTCACTTGGAGACCTGGTTATGTTTGCTTGAAAACTCTAGTCTCATTGCTTTATAATTATATCCTATATTCTACCTTCGATCAAAAAGAGAGGGTAGAAGCTGGAAAATATTTTAACCTCTTAAAGTAATTATTGAAAACTGTTTCTAAGAGGCTTGTAACTGTAAATGATACCCTTATTAACACTGTTGCAAAAGTAGCAGGATTGATTATTTTACATTGAGTAAGGACTCAAAACTGCCTCAGATGCCTGTTTTGACTTGGGCAGTTTTAGAAGGACATGACTCAATCGGCAATTTATTCAGATATGTGCACTAACAGGCCACGTTATAATCAATATTATTTTATTAATATCATCGTTAATGATATTAACACACTTTCAAGTACATCTGCAAATTTAAATCAATATAAATTATGACTGCATCTATTTTCAATACTACATTCATACCAAAGTGTAAAACAATAAGCCAAGTGTCTTTATAAAATTTCCAAAATGTGAAATAGTTTATTTTCCCATTTATCTGAGGTTATCCCTGAACAACCCTGAATTTCTAACAAAGAAAGCTATTATGATCTTTTCTCTTTCCCACCATTAGGACATATTTCAAACATAAGAAGCTATGCCCTTCCCAACTACAGCCCAGTGAATGACACTTGGGCTACCCCAGGGTCCAAAAAGTAAGGGCCATGATGCTACATCAGAACAGATGCACAGAACTGAGATTAAAGCTACATTATCTTTTCTACTATTCCCATTCAATGAAATTATAAAGTGCTTTATACACACATTGTAAAATCCTATGTGAATATGGGTAGATATTATTATTACTATTATTATTGCTGTTAACCACCTGTATAGCTGGCTGGGAGTAGGAAAACGTAGCTCAGCTTCGTACCTTTGTTTAGTCATAAAACTCTAGTTCTACAGTCCTCATGCCTGTTGCTGTTGTTCAGTCATTTTTCAGTTGTGTCTGACTTTTCGTAACACCATTTTGGGATTTTCTTGGCAGAAGTACTGCAGTGGTTTACCATTTCCTTCTTCAGCTCATTTTACAGATGAGGAAACTGAGGCAAAGAAGGTTAAGTGATTTACCCAAGATCACACAGCTAGTAAATGTCTGAGGCTGGATTTGAACTTAGGAAGCTGAATCTTCTTGACTCCAGGCCTGGCGCTCCATCCACTTTGCCACCTAGCTGCCCTCTTCATGACTAATGGAAACCAATTACCTGAAGAGCTTCTAATCCCCAGATGAGTCATAGCAGCTGGGAGATTTCCCATACTATTGCCAACACTCATACTGCCAAACCAGTGGCCGTCAGGATCCAAAGATGTCGGTAGAGGGGATGAGGAATGAAGGCTGGTTAAGTCTGGTAATGACCCTCCAGTGTTTAGGTTCCCCAGAAAAGGTGCTAGTCCTGTGTTCTGGCCATTATGTGGAAAGGCACTAGAAGAAGACAGACAAATTATTTTTCAAAAGTAATGGGGGGCTAGGAAATCATACATACACAATTTCAAATAATAATATAGTTTCATTATCATAGCTTACAGTTCTTAACAAGGAGTTTTTCATATTTACATAAGTATGTAGATATGAGATTTCTATAGCATCTTTCCCAAAAGCTATCCTAGAGAATTCAGGTCACTCACTCTCTGGGCTTTTTTTTTTTTAAACATTATCTCCAAAACCCAAAGGTAGGAAAGAGATGCTATTGTTCTCTCCTGAGATCAGAAGTACAGACAAAAAAAAAAAAAGAAGTACAGGCAGTAAGGCATCAACAAAGCGGAGATGCCACAGCTCCAAGATCAGTATTCTATCTAGTAGACAACAGAGCTAGGAAATTCAGTTTCAGACTAAATAAACTATATTCAAATATGCCAGAATTTAGCAAGTTGAGTTCTAGGTTGCAAATTTAAGGCAACTTTCAATAACTTCCCTAAATCTGGTACCTATATTTTAATACAAAGACAGGCATCCGCTCACCACCTATTTATATTGTGAACACCTGCTTGGCCACCCTCGGTAACATACTAAGTTAACAACTGACTCCATGTTACCATGTATCTCAGTGATTCCTAGTAATTTCTGAGTAATGGGAATCTGGTGAAGCCCACAGATTTTTCTTCAAGTCACCAAGCATTCAGTAAGCACTTACTATGTGTCAATCACACCGTGAGCACTTTTCAGAACGTTTTTGTTATTTTTTAAATTCATAAAACATACAGGATTACAAAGGAAACCAATTACACTGAAATAAAGTTATTACAAAATACTTTAAAAAATAAGTTCATAGGCCCCAAGTTAAGAACCCCTGGTCTAGCTGTTTGGAACTGAGAATAGTAGAAGGGTTGGTTGTGTATGTGTACAAAATAACTTACTTTCTCCTCACTCAATTCCAATCTGACCAATAGGTCTCAGGAAAAAGCCCCAGAATTGAAGGATTCATGGCAAAATTCAAAACACTGAATAGTTTAAATGAATAGGGAGTATAAAGAAAAGGTTTTGGTGATCACAAAGAATACACGTGGTTTCATCAAGCTAAGGTTATGCCAGGCTATAAAGTTTAAATCTTTTTTGGACAGGGTTACCAGATTAGGGTAACACTGTCAGTATAGTTAACCTAGATTTTAGAAAAGCATTTGACAAAATGACTTATACTATCCTTGTGGAAAAGACAGAAATATGACTTCAGGAAAATAGCAGAATATAAAATAAACCCACGTAAAATCATTCTGTATGTTGCCAATAAAACCCAGCAAGAAGAGACAGAAAGAAAAATTCCATTTAAAATAACAAAAGATGTATAAAATACTTAGTAAAACACACAAAAGGAACTATATGAACACACTCACAAAACATTCTTTGGGAAATAAAGATGGATCTAAATAATTGGAGAAACATTAACTGCCCACGAGTAGGCAGAGAATGAAAATGACACTAACTAAATTAATTTGCTCATTCAATGCCATATTATTTAAACTATCAAAGGGTTACTTTACAGAGCCAAAGAGAACGGAATCATCTGGAGGAAAAATAGGTTAAGAATCTAAGGAGAAATAATGGAAAAAAAAAAAAGTGTGTGTTTGGGGGAGGGGGGGACTAACAGTACCAAATCTGATATATCACTGCAATATAGTCCAAACGATTTGATACTGGTAAAGAATAAAGGTTTTTCAATGGAACAGATTAGGTCAGGGGTGGAGAACCTGTGGCCTCGAGGCCACATGTGGGCTCGAGGCCTCAGGCTGCCCACCCCTGGTACAGGTATATAACATAAAGAAACAAATGAACCTAGCAGCCTAATGTTTGATAAGCCCACAGACCCTAGCTACTAGAGTAAGAACTCTAGTTCAAAAAAAAAAAAAAAAAAACTGCTGGGAAAACTGAAAAGCAATCCCCAGAAATTAGGTTGAGACCAATACCTCATACCATATATTAAGCTAAGTTCCAAATGAATACGGGACTTATGTAAAAAGTCACATCATAAACAAATTAGAGGAGCAAGGAAGAAATTTCCTTTTACATCTACAGACAGAAGATGAATTCATAACCAAATAACGGGTAGAGATTATTACAGAAGATAAAATGGAAAATTTTGATTATGTAAAATTAAAGTTTTTACACAGACAAAACCAATGTAGCTAAGGAAGGGACACAATTAACTCGGAAAAATCTTTGCAGTAAGTTTCTCTGACAAGGTATCATTTCCAAGTTCTATAAGGAACAAGTACAAATTCATAAGAATAAGAGCCATTCTCCATTGATAACTGGTCAAAGTATGTGAAAAGGGTGCTTTCTAGGAAAGAAACCCAAGCTATCAATAGCCATATGAAAAAAATGCTCTAAATCACTAAAATTGGATTCCTGCAATTTAAAACAATTCTGTGATTCCATATCACAGACTGACAAAGCTAACAAAAATGGAAAATGACATTTGCTAGAGAAGCTTCATGTAAATAGGAAGATTAATGCACTGTTGATGGAGCTGTAAACTGGTCCATCTATTCTGGAAAGCCATTTGGAACTATGCCCCCAAAGTTATTAAACTGCTGCGTACCCTTTGAATCCAGCTATACCACTCACTACTAGGCCTAGTTTCAGAAAAGCCTAGGAAGACTTGCAAGAACTGATGCAGAGTAAAGTAAAAAGGACCAGATGAACAATTTATACAATAAAAACAACACTGCAAAAAACAAACTGCTAGGGGCAGCTAGGTGGTGCCGTAGATAGAGCACCAGCCCTGAAGTCAGAAGGACCTGACTTCAAATCCAGCCTCAGACCAAACACTTGACACTTACTAGCTGTGTGACCCTGGGCAAGTCACTTAACACCAATTGCCTTTTAAAAAAAAAAAGGGGGGAGAAAAAAACAAACTGCTGTGACCAACTCAATGACCAAGTACAATGCCAAAAGACTGATGGTGAACAATGCTGCCTTCCACCTAAATGTATATTTAATACATTTTCCTTTTTCAGTGGATGGGGGAAGTTGGAGGCAGAGAAAAATAAATGCTTGTTAAATGAAATATAAAAAATTTAATTTAAAAATAAAGTTAATTTTTAGAACAATCCATTTCATGATGGTGAGATTAATTTTACACTTTGGCATAGATTGTGAAAATATACATAGAAGCTTTTGAATTATGTCTTAAAATAAAAGGAAAATTTTTTTATAAAAAAAAAAATAGAGAGAGATATGGCCTCTGCAATTATACTGTAGAGGAAGTCAAAAGAGGCTGAATGACCAAACTCAAAGAGTGGTCATTAATGGCCTGGTGATTGACCTTCTTTTATTTTAACATTTTTACCAATGACTTGGGTAAAGGTATAAAAGGCATGCTTTCAAATTTACAGATGACACAAAGCTGTGAGGGATAGCTAATACACTAGATAATACGATTTTAAAAGAGCTTAAAAGGCAAGAACTGTGGGCCAAATTTACTAAGAGAATTTTTAAAAGGATAAATATAAAATCTCACCCTTAAGTTCCCAAAAAATCAACTTCTTTGTTTTCCCCAGAAAAGGCATAACATTCTTTCCAGAGTAATCTGTGAGTAAAAACTGGGCAGTGGGGAGAGGGTATAAGTGCAGCCTGACCACAACAGATGGTTTCTATCAGGAAGCAATGAGTGATAAATTACTAATGATAATTAATGATCACTTAAGGTCCTCTTTTTTTTGAGTGGGGGGGGAGAATTGGGGTTAAGTGATTTGTACAGGGTCACACAGCTAGTAAGTGTCAAGTGTTTGGTCTGAGGCCAGATTTGAACTCAGGTCCTCCTGACTTCAGGGCCAGTACTCTATCCACTGAGCCACCTAGTTGCCCCTTAAGGTTCTCTTAATGATCCACTTAAGGATCTGAGTTCAAATTATTTAATGATCACTTAAGTGGCCAAATATTCATTCTCCTTGACATAGCTGCAGCCTCTGACATCGTCCATCACTCTCTCTTCTCTCCAGCGGCACCACTCTCTCCTGGTCCCACCTGTCTGACTTCTCCTTCTTTGTCTCTTTTGCAAGATCTTCCTTCAGATCGCTAACTGTAGTTTCCCACAGGAATTTGTCCTGGGCCCTTTTCTCTTCTTTCTCTATACCACTTCACTTAGTGACTTTGTCATCTCCCATGGATTTAATGACCATCTCTATGCGGATGATTCTCAAATTTATTTATCCTACCCCAAACTCTCTGCTGACCTTCAATCTCACACATCTTCAGTTAACTTTCAGACATCTCAAACTGGATGTCCAGTAGACATCTTAAACTCAATAGGTAAAGTGGAACTCTTTATCTTTCCCCTAAACCTTCCTCCCATCCTCGGATATCCAATCTTGTTGCCAAAGTCTGCTGATTTCACCTCTGCAACATCTCTCTGAATACATCTCCTTTTTTCCTCTGGCACTGCCACCACTGGTACAGGTACTCAATTATCTCAAACCTCAATTACTGCAATAGCCTTCTAGTGAGTCTACCTGCCTCAAGTTCTTCCCCACTCCAAGCCATCCTCTACTCAGCCACTAAAGTAATTTTCCTAAGTGCAGATCTGATCACATCATTTTCCTGCTCTATAAACTCCAATGGCTTCTTACTGCCTACAAGAACAAATACAAAATGCTTTGTTTGGCATCCAAAGCCCTTCATGACTTAATCCCCTCCCACCTTTCTAGTCTTCTTACACCTTACATCCCATCATGTACTCTTTGATCCAGTGACACTGACCTCCTGGCTGTTCCAAGAACAAAATGCTCCCTGGATTTGTGTTTTCTCTCTCTGGCTGCTCCCCATGCCTCTTCAGCTCTAACTACTGCCCCTTCTGGTTTCCTTTAAGTTCCAACTAAAATCCCACCTTCAACAGGAAGCCTTTTTAACCTCTCTTAATCCTGTTAAACTCTTATTTATCTTTCATATAGTTTACTTTGAATATTTTTTTTTTGAAGCAACTGGGGTTAAGTGACTTACCTAGAGTCACACAGCTAGTGTTATGTGTCTGGGGTCACATTTGAACTCAGGTCCTCCTGACTCCAAGGCCTGTGCTCTATCTACTGCGCCACCTAGCTGCCCCTTCCTTTGAATATTTTGTTTGCTGGCTGTCTATCCTATTATATTATAAGCTTCCTGAGGGCAGGGACCATCTTTTGCCTCGTTTTGTATCTCTAGCACTTAGCTTAGTGCCTGGAACATAGGAGTCACTTAATAAATGTTTATTGATTGATACCTACAGTGAGGAGAACAGGTCATGGAGGGGTTGGGATGCTGGGCTGAGGAGTTGAGATTTCACCTATTAAGAAGCCATTTTATGCTCTTTAAAAAGACAAATACTGGGGGTAGCTAAGTGGTGCAGTGGACAGAGCACTGGCCTTGGAGTCAGGAGGACCTGAATTCAAATTCAGCCTCAGACATTTACTAGATGTGTAACCCTGGGCAAGTCACTTAATCCTGGTTGTTAAAAAAAAAAAAAAAAGACAAATATTGGGTTAGCATGCAGTATGGACTGAAGTGGAAAATAACTATAGGTACAAAAGACTGAACTGATTCATGTAAAGATGGTTAAGGCCTGAGATGGTTCTTTGGGAATGACGAGAAACAGACGCCAAAAGAAGCAGTAAAGGAACAATCAAAAGACTTAAGGATCTAGGCGGGAAAGGGAGTACCGAAATGGAATGGGTTGCCTTCAAAGGTCTTTGAGGAAAGGGGAGGTGGCCATTTGTCAAAGGCCTTGTCGGATGCACTCCTGCTCAGAGACAAGTTGGACTAGATGACCTCTGGGATCCAGCCTACCTCTCAGATTCTTTGACTCTGCATTGAAAAATAACTTCAAATTTTGGAGGATCAAAGACTAGGAAAATGGGTATTACTGATGACAGAAATGAGGGTGCGAGCCAAGAAAGTCAGTTTGAGGGATGGGAAAGAAATGTTATTCAAAGGAAATATGGGACTGAAGATGAGGTGAAAAAATAAGACCTAGAGAACATAAACTCTCTAAGGATAAATGTAAAAAAGAATAGAGAGAAATAACCAAATCTTGAGAACATTCACAATTATGAGTTATAAGAAGGAAAAAAACTGGCTGTATGCTATGCTACAGAAACCACCTAGAGAGATCTCTGTGAAGAAATAGGTGGTCAAGCACCCAACACCACAGGAAGATCAAAGACATTTGGCTAGAAAAGTCACTGGTAGCAAATGAGAGAGCAGTTTCATGCCACAGTGAGAAGAAACAAGTAAATAACTCATTTTCTCACAGATACTCTGAGCTACCTTCTCAAATGTGGTATCTAAGGCTCTGCAGTTTGCCAGAAAAGCAGACTAGGTACATTTAAACTCAGCATCCTTGGAATGAATAAACAGAATAGGCATCAAATTTCCCAAAGGTCCAAATCAAGCCCTCTACCCACTTCGAACTTTCTTCTGAAGCAAAACACCTCAGGATAATTCCTGAGAGAGGGACAGTGGCATGATGCTACTTACTTGACACCTCCCACATCACAGGATCGAGGGCGAGCTGAAAGGGACTGAATCTAGGAAGAGAGACACAGGAAACTGGGATTACATGCCATGACATCACGTTAACAGGAAATATGCCTTCTCACATATTCTGGGAGCTAGAAAAGAGCATCTTTCAGCCCAAATAAGTTTTAGCACAGAGAAGTTAGCCCCCACACACACAAGCCACTGAGTTTGCAAATGGATTTTAATGTTTGAAATAGATAAGCACACAGAAGGTATACATTTTCTTTGAAGGGGCTCCTGCTACATTTTAAAGTCTTTTCAAGGTGAATATGATGCTTCAAAGGGCTCAAAACTATGTTTAAACAAACATTTTCCAAACCGAGTTAGAGGGAAAACAAGACAAGATTAAAAAGTGGAAGTATCTAATAAAGGATAGCTCCAGAGAAGGCAAGACAGGAAAACAGAAGAGACAAAGAAAGGGGAAGCAGAAGCAACTCAACAGTGTTAGATGAAAATGGCCAAACTATTGAAAAAAAAAAGTCCCTAAAAACTCCCATTCCTGAAAATATTTTATCGGGCACAATGACTCCAAAGAAAAATATTACTGATGCTTAATTAAGGCACTGAGATGATTTTTAGCTCTCCAAGGTCAAGCCAGAAAATTAAAAGCTCTGGCATGTTCTGCCAAGCTAGAAAGGCTGCAAGTATGAGTCCAGCAACAGTTTGTGTCTGCAGTCAAAGGTCCAATCTAATTTCAAGTGAGAGGCTCATTGCCAAAAGAATGACCGCTAGGTAGTGATTTTTTTTTTTTTTGGACACAGAGAACAATAACATAAAAACTGAAAATATGGCTCTCTTCTGTTTTCCACCATGCATGTAAATTAGATCCTCTGTGGGAGGTTTATGGGAGGATGAAGACAAGGACAGCACAGGATGAGAAGGTGTGGAGGGGCTATGGTCTAACCTGGTGGTGGCAATATTTACATCAATGAGATCATGGGGCCATCAGACTTGTGCACAAAAAAAGTGGGATAAAAGACATGTGTGACCAATGAAAGGATGGGCCAGTCATATAGTGAGAGATAATAATAATCAATGGACAGTCCAAGTATCTCACTGGTATTCATGAAATAGTAATTAAAATTTTAATAATTTAAAATTACTAGAAAAAGGCTTCCAGGGCATTATGCAGATCTTTTCTGGGAAGATTTCAGAAAAATATGGACAAGAATTACACAGGATGAATTGCTATATGTATTAGTGGAAAGAATAGCCCCACTGATGAGATCACATACATCTACATACTTCAAGATATTCTAGATGGGCAAATTTTTTTTCACCCAGTCACATTCCCCAAAGACAGGGGTGAGTGACAATGTTGCAAGAAGTCAGGGAGGAACAGACCTGTTGTCTTCTCTGCTGGCAGTGATGCCACATATGCCATCACTTAAATGAAGCCCATAAGTCTGTGGAAGCATTTGTGGCTCTCACAGCTTTAAAAGAACTAGCATTCTCTAATATGTATTAGTATGGCAAATATTATAGTAGACTCAATAAACACTTGGTGATTGATTCTGGAATACTCTTCCTCCAAAGAGCACAGGGTGCTCTACCAAGAATTCTCCTATTATAAAAAGTTTTTACAATGACTGTTTCTAAAATATTATAATGCCAAAGATACAGGCAGACAAAGTAGAAGGAAGGAAAAAGGAGTGGGAAAAGCAAACAGAATGCAGGTAATGTAAGTAATTACAATTTTTAGACTAACCAAGGAAGGGAGAGAGGGATATACATTTACTTTTTAAGTTAATGGAACTGGTCTCACTGATCTAGGAAGAAAAAGAAAGCCAAATATTATGGAGCCTTGGCCTAGGCTAATCACTATCCTCTTTGGAGGAAGGCTGGTTATCCACTAGGTCGTTTTTATCAGAAAGAGTTGTTTGAAGATCAGAATAGATAAAAGCTCATGGAAATCAAATAATCTGTCAATATAGCCAGTGAACCCAGGCAATTTACTCGACCTTTAAACCAGAGTTTCTGACGAATCTGTGACTCCAGATACTCAGGTTCCTTTTAAAAATATTCTGTCAATGTGACACAGCTAGTCATATTAACTTAATTAAACAGATTTGTTATGTCATCAATGTGGGTGATTACAAGGAAACAACTTTTTCCACAAAAGCAAATGAGTTATTGATCTGCAACTCACAGGCTTGGAGAGTGATCTGAGGCCCCATGGGGTTAAATGCCTTGCCCATAATGACATGGCCAGGATATGTTGTCAGAGGTGGGATTTGAATCCAGGCCTTCCTGCCTCAGAGGCCAGCCCTGTACTATGCCACCTCTCAATCTTGTTTAAAAAACAGGAAAATCTGTTTCAAAGTTTTTGGATCAAAGACTTGCTAGGACAGATTTTGGAGACTATCCTATGAGTACGTGGATAATTTATAATCAGCGGCTCCCCTGAGGAGGTAGCTGTATTTCAGCCATCCAGGAGCACAGGGTAATATCAGCTCCGGGGTGTTCTTTCCCATATCCTTCCCTCGACCAATCCTCTGGTTCCTTCTTGCCACCTTCTGCTTGGCTCTCTGGGAACATCCTGCATGGGACCAACAAGTCACTCAGCCACAGAAGGCCCCAAGGCTGCCTATGGCTCACCCACCTTCTTGGCCTCCCACAGTTGTTTTGGCAGTGGCTTGGGAACGTTCAGCAGATTCTCCTCTTTCACAGGGCTGGAGAAAGGAATAACTGAAGCAACATAAACACAACATTGGCTGGATCAGAAGAGAAGCCATTCCACCTGTGCTCTAACAGTTCTATGACCTATGTACACTTAGCCTATCGCTCTGGGGCAGTAAGCAAGCACCAGAGTGTGAAGCAAACGGCTGGGTTAAATTCTCTCGAGTCAGGCTTCAAGGGAATGTTCAATTCTTACTTTACTAGGATGAATTCCAAACATCAGATGAATTTCATCTGGCAAATTCTAAATGATGAGATGACTTGTCTTCTAGTTTGATAAAGAATATTGAAATAAATTATCATTTTAGGGTAGGTTTTGTCTTACTCTAAAATCTTATTAATCTTAAGGTTTTAAAATTTCTCTAGGGGTGTCTATAATAGATGTGAAATTACTGTATGGTTAATTTTATAATCAGGAAATCAGATACTTTTTTGTTTTGAATCCATAAGGAATCCATAAAATCTTTTGCAAATCACTTATTTTTATTATGAATTAAGGTGCTGAATCTTCCAGATAGGTAGTAAGGTTAGGCCCCTGAACACTGGTGTTAACTTTGATAGGGCAGTGCCTAGCATGGTGTTTTATACAAGATGCTCAATAAGTATCCATTGAACTGAATGTATGGATAGACTAGTCCATACAAATTCCAGATTGTGCTGCATTCTGGTTTAAGAGATGCAACTATTTACACTCTGGCTTTTGACCTCATCTCTCTAGCTACCAAGGATATCTTAATTGCCAAACAGAATGGTCTTTTCTCAATCTTCCTTGACCTCTCTGCAACTTCTGACACTCTTCTCCACTACAGGCTCTTCTCTCCTGCCCGTCCAACCACTGCTCTCAGTTTTATCTGCTGTATCTGCATCCAAGTCCCATCTACTAACTGTGACTATCCTTCAGGGCTCTGTCTCGGACCCTCTTTTCTTCTCCCTCTATACTATTTCATTTGGTGATCTCATCAGTTCCCATGAATTTAGTTTTCACCTCCATGATGATTCTAAAATCTAATTATTTACTTCTAAGCTCTCTCCTGACTTCCAGTCTCCTATCTCTTAACCACCTATTGGATATCTTGAATTGGATATCCCATAGACATCTTTAAACTCAACATGTCTAAAACTGAATTCATTCTATCTTCCTAACTTCCAAATTACTGTGGAGGGTACCACCATTCTCCCAGTCACCCAAACTCACAACTTACATGTTATCCTCAACTCCTCACTCCCCTGCCCATACCCAATCGGTTCCCAAGACCTGTCCATTTTACCTTGTATCCCCTTCCTCTGACACTGCCACTGCCACCACCCTAGTCCAGGCCCTCATCACCTCACACCTGGACTACTGAAACAGGCTGCAGGTTGCTATCCCTGCTCAAGTCTTTCCTCATTCCAGTCCATCTTTTATTTAGCTGACAAACTGATTACTTCCTAACATGCCTCCTCCTTATATTCAATCAACTCCAATGGCTTCCTATCCCCTCTAGGATCAAATATAAAACCCTCAGTTTGTTTTTCAAAGCCTTTTCTAACCTGGCCCTCTTTGACCTTCCCAGTCTTCCTACACCCGACTCATCCCCATGGACTCTTTGATCCAGTGACATCGGCCTCCTCGATGTTCCTCAAGTAAGACACTCGATCCCCTGACTGTGTATTTTTACTGGTCAGCCCTTAAGCCTGGAATTCTTTCCCTCCTCATCTCTGCCTTTGGCTTCCCTGGCTTCCTTTGAGTCCCAACCAAATTCTCACGTTCTGCAAGATGTTCTTGCTGGTCTGCCCCAGTGTAAGTGCCTTTCTTTTAATATTATCTCTGATTTATTCTGTCTAGATTTTGTTTGTACACAGGTGTTTGCAGTTTGCCTCCCCCATAAGACTGTGACTTCTTGAGGGCAGGGGCAGTTTTTGCCTTTCTTTGTAGTGCTTGGCACATAGTGGGCAATAAACACTTAATAAACACTTCTTAACTGACTGAACTGGAGAACCTTGAATAAAATTAAAGGAAGGAATATCAATTACTAATACTAGTAGGGACTGGTAGACTTAAAGACCCTTGTGCAAATGTTAACCAAATATACATGCAGCCTAATCACAAATTTCAATTCTTAAATTCTGATAAGGGGCTGGTCTCAGAAAAGTAGGGTGTTCAGCCACAAGCAAAATTCTAAGCAGCTATTGGAAACAGGAGAAGACTTGGTGATGAGACTTAGAATGAGGGAGGGGTCTGTATGAGTTGATGTTACAGAAAAAAGGTAAAGTAGATCATAACCAGTCATACCTTCTCCAAATCCATCATTCTCACCATCACAGAAACCTATTAGAATAGAAAAGAGAAACATTACTGTGAAGGACTTATATTTTTCTTCATTCATGTCAGCAATCTCTTCAATTTTAGGTACTTATGCCAAAGGCACTTGACCCCCAAACTGAAGAGTGATTTTTTAGCATTTTAGCACTCTAGGTAAAAACTAAAAATTGTTATTTGGACTAAATTCTGATTACTAGCTGTTTCTCACATCCTTGAAAGTTTCTGTGGTGTGACATTTTGCTACAAGTGAAACTATTTTTCATAACGCCTGAGACTATTGGGGTCTTAGAAGTATAAAAGTACAGGCTGGAACACTAAAAAATTCTGTATGAGAAACAAGGACAGCATCAACAAATACAAACAATTAAAAAACAAAAATGAGGAATAGAAGTCCAAGTAAAATCTTAAACCCTAATCTATTTAGATTTTTGATGTGTCTAGTCCATCTATTTGGCACATAGTAGGCACTTAATCAATGATTCTTGAATTTAACAAATAAAAGTAACAACATGTTTGCTGTATGTTCCCTTCTTATCTCTTTTCAAGTTGTGTACTTATAAAATGTCCTTGGTGTTTTAATATGGCCTTGGTCAATATGTCACTCTTCTAACTGCTTTTTGCATTATTCTGTGAAGGACTTTTAGAAAACCTTTAAATATTTTTAATATTTGTATTATTTGATGATTTAGGAATATTATTAATAAATCACATTTATCAAGCCATTCTCCAATTGCTGAACACACACACATCTACCATTTTAAATTCTTCACTATCACAAATGGAAACACTAGAAGCACTTTTGTGCAGAAAGGATTTTTTATTTTGAATAGAATACTCACAAAATCAGTAACTAAGAGAAATATTTTTTAAAAATAGGAATGAGAGAGAATAAAGGCCAAAAAAGGGGGTTCAGATCAGCATTTTATACCATTTACCACAGTTGAGTTCCAAATAGTTATGTGATAAATATAAATGTTCTATCATAAAAAAGAGGAAAATAGAGGGCAGTATCCTTAACAACTATGGCTAGGGAAAGAATTCTTAACCAAAGGAGAAAAAGAAGCAATCACAAAAGCTAAAATGGACAATTTTAATGATGGAAAATGAAAACTCGTGCACAAATAAAATCAATACAGCTAAGATAAGAAGAGAACTTGTCAAATGGGAGGAAAATCTTTGCATCGAATATTGCTGGCCAGGCTCTGACAGCCATCTATCCACAAATATTTAAATACTTACTATGTGCCAGGCACTGTTAACCAAAATATTTAGATAAATATCACAAATATCTAAGACCAACAGCCATTCTCTAATAGCTATGCCGAAGGATAATAAATAGTTAAAGAGAAGCAATACAGGTTGTTAATAATCATATGAAAGTTAACTGCAAATCACTATTAAAAAAGTCAGTAATAGTCTATTTTGAAAGAGCTACAGAAATACAGGCACATTAATATGCTACTGGTGGAATGCTGAAATGGTTCAATGATTCTGGAAAGCAATTTGGAATTATACTATAAAAACCTCATAAAATGGCCATACCCTTTAATCAAGATGTACCACTTCTAGGTAAATATGAAACATTTTTTTTACATCTTTGACCACTTTAGATTTATCTTAAGGTGGTTATAGATGTAAAGAAATGTTTCATATTTACCTAAATACTTATAGAAGAATTTTTTGTGGTAACAAAGAAATGGGAAAAAAAAAGCAGATATACATCCACAAACTGGGGAACAATTAAACAAATCATGGTATATGAATTTAATGGCACATGAAAGAAATATTATTATGTTCTTTAAGAAATAACACATGAAAAATTCAGAGAAACACGAGACATATACGAATTAGTGCACAATCAAGTAAGCAGAACCACAAAAACAAAATATACAATGGCTATGACAATGTAAATGGAAAGAACAGTAAAACAATAATGAATGCTATGTAATTATAATGACCAAGCTTGGTCCCAGAGAAGAAAGGAGAAAACAGACCTCTCTTCTTTCATGGAGAAGTGAAGAACTAGGGGTATGTAATGCTATACATGTCATCACACATAATCAACGTGTTGTTAGTTTTCTTGCTATTGTTCTTGATTTTTCTTTCTTTTTAAAAATCTGTTACAATGGAAAGCTCACTGGGAAGGGGGAAGAATATACTTTGGAAGCACTATGATATAAAAATAAAGGGTATCAATAGAACTTCAAAAATAATATTATCTTCAAAGTATAGTTCTAACAGTGGAAGTCCTTGGGTCAAAGAAAATGATCAGTTTGATAATGCTTATTGTATGATACCAGATTTCTCTTTAAGAAGATCCCACCAATTCACAGCTTCACCAACAATTTAACAGTGCCTGTTCCCCTACAGACTAATCTAGTAACCTACAAAGTATTTTATAAGTTTCAACTACCTCTGAGAAGTTGATACAGTAAATCAAAGTTGTTTTGATTTGCATTTCTCTGAAAATCAGAGAATTTGAACAATTTTTCAGTGATTATTGAATTATATTTGCTTCAAGAATTTCCTAATTCTTTGATAAGAAGTAGAGAATTGTTATTACTCTTATAAATTTGACTCAGTTCCTTAAAGATTATAGACATCAGATTTTTATCAGATTTAGTTAACATTAGAGATTTTTTTTCCTCAATCTGTTTCTTTTCTTTGCATGGTGAATATATTGCCTCTTGTCACATAAACTATATATTTTCATATAATCAATTCTATTTTCTCCTCAATAATTTCTTCTATTTGTTTAATATATGTATTTTTGGATTCTATTACTAAGTTTTTTATTTTGTTCCACTGATCTATTTTTTTTTTTTAAAAATTTCAATACCAAAGACTTTATTACCACTCTATAGCACAATCTGAAGTCTGATCATTTAAGTCTTATTTCATCTTTTTTCCACTTTCCTTTGACATTCTTGTCTCTTAGTTATTCCACACCAATGTTTATTACTGTTGTATCTAGTTCTATAAAAAAAAGTTTGTTTCTATTTTGGCTGGTATTACACAGCATCTACATAGTAATCTGTGAAGCACTGATATTTAAAACATCCTAACGACCTACCTATGGGTAATGGATAGTCTTTCAAACGTTTATTTCTTCATTTATTTCTGTCAAATTTGTTTTGAAGTTTCTTTTATACATATTCACCTATGTCTTCATAAATTAAAGCCCAAACTATTTTATATATTTTCTTGGTATTTTAAGTGGTGTTTCTCTAAAAAATTGTCTTCTGGTTTTTGTCAATGATATTTAAAAATGCTGATTTTTTTTTGTGTGTGGACTTATCTTCTACCTTATTGCGTTGCTAAAAGTTCTTTACCTTAATAACCTTTTTTATCATTTATTAACTTATTCATTTATTACCTTAATTAAATTTTCTGTTGAGGCTCTTGGATGCCTGAAACACTCTTCTGAAATTTTCATTTTCTTTGGGTAATTCAAAAGTCTATACACCTATTTCATGCTTATTGTATGTGTTCTATGAGGAAAAACAAACTGGCATTATTGAATCTCAGAGTTGGAAGGAACCTTAGAGATTGTTAGCTCAATCCCTATTTGAATCATGAATCCTTTCTCCAACACCCATAAGAAGTGGTCCTCCAGTTTCTGTGTGATTACTTCCCATGCCCAAGAATTCATCTCATAGCTTCAGCTCTAACTCAGGCAGTCATGGGATCTCTTTAGGGCAGCTTCAATCTCTTCCCTCTCCCCTGGGCTCCTTCCTATCTGCCTACAAAAATGCTCAGGCTCCTGCTATTCCTAAAAAAAAGTCTTCCTTTTACACTGATACCAATCTAGCTAATGCTCCATCTCTCATCATCTTTTCAGTAGCTTGTTTTTGTGATGCTGCTGACCAGCAGACCCTCTGACTCCCCTGGCTTCGGACATCCCACTCTCCTAGCTCTCTTCCAATCCCTCTCCATCCTCCCACTTCTTAATGTGAGTGTTCCTAAATGTGCTGTGTCTTCTCTTTTCCCACTATATGTTCTCCCCGGGTGATCCTGGCAACTCCTCTGGCTTCAGTGACTGCTCTATGACCCATCATAACTTGCCTTTCGAATTCTAGAGCCATCCAGCACAGAGAATTTACTTAATCAATGCTCTCTATTTCCAGCTACCTAGGATACCACTACTGAGCTGTATGACTGGTAGCTCAGATTTTCTGGATCTTAAATTTTTACTACCTAGCTGTTTGATCCTAGGTTAAGTCACTTAACTTCTCTGCCTCAGTTTCCTCATCTATGAAATGGAGCTGTTAATAGCAGGGCTGTTATGAGGATCAAATGAGATATTTGTAAAGCGCTTTGTAAACCTGAAAGCGCCACATTATGCCAGCTATTACAATATTAATTATTATTAATGCAGCCTAAGATTGCATTAGAAATTTTGACTGTTAAACCACACTATAAACTAAAATTGAACCTGTAAGCCACTAAAACCCCAAGACTTTTCTCACCTAAATGGTTGTCTTATCAAACTTCTCACATAGTGTACTTATTTATGTAGCTGATTCTTTAACCTAAGGTAGAACTTTACATTTTTCCCTCTATTTCATCTTATTTGCTCACCATTTGAATACAGATGAAATTTAAGGAAATTATGATTCAGTATCTTTACTGATGGTGCCCCTTCTCCACATTTTTTAGGCCTAATCTCCTTTCTGCACATCAGCGAAAGGAGGAGGAATATGCATTTACAGAGCACCTTCTATATATGCCATGCATTGTACTAAGCATTTTTTTCAAATATTATCTCAAATATTATTATTAGTTGCTTTCATGTTATAATGTGAGATTTCTTCATTCTTCATCTGGTTGTACTAATCTGGGACTTGTTCCACTGACTTCTCCCCCTGCCTCAGGAAGCTCACTCTTAGGATAACCTCAGCATGCTATAGCCTTGGGACTCTACCTTATCACTACCCTCTGCCTCTCCGATGTGGTAGTGAGGCCCTTTAACGGAGAGAGCTCAGCTCAGACATCTCCTTACTGCTCACTTAGCTGCACTGGCTTTGAGACTTGTCCACCATGTTCCCAGGTTAAGTACCTCCTCCCTCCACTCCTCTGCATTTAACTCCCTATGCACATTGTCTCCCTTGATTGGATTGAGCTCCTTGAAGGCAAGAACTGTCTTTCTTTTTTTGTATCTGTATCCCACAGAGGCTGGTAAGTGCATGATAAATATTTAACGATGATTGACTATTGATTGAAAAAGTATCATTCACTGTGGTTCCGAGCATTTTAAGCTGATCTCTAATTTGTGCTCCATCAAGGGGAATTTAGAAATTTAGAACTTGAATTCTTTTAAGTTTATCTTGGAATCCATGAGACCTCTCCCATTCCCCTAACTAGAAAAGTAGCCACAATCTAGCCAGTTTTGGTCTGTAGAAATGGGAGGAAGGGTGTCACTGGCTTTTTCTAGCTGGAAAAGGGTAGCAGCTTGAAACTTGGGATCCGGGGGGGGTGTGGTGTGTGTGTGAGGAGAATTCAACTGTGCACGGTATGGGGAAAATTTTGGCACTACCATTTATACAGACTGGGAAATTAAAAACAGTAAGAGGAAAAGTACAGAAGATGGTTTGATTGTAACAAAGTAACATTCTAAGGAATTACAGTCATTTCTATAAACTAGTATTAATGTGTCATTATCACAGAGCACAATCATAATTATGCATCCAATTAAATGTATCAGATTAGTTTACATTCACTTATCCTCAGCTTACATGGTTTGTAGCTCATGCAACATAGTTATTTGCTCACAACTAAGAAAATTAGAGGGAACCCAAGGGTGCAATCCAGTAAAAATTCCCAGGGAAGGAACAGCTGTTATCACCACTATTACAGTGCTTAATCCTAGACTTAAGTTATACTTTCCCATCGTCTTTTTTTTTTTCATTTTTACCTTATTTGGTAAAATCTATGATTAGAAATACCTTTTTTTTTTTTTTTGCAAAGCTAGTTGATATTTTTAAATTCCAAAGGAAGGAAAATGAAAAGCTTTAATGAATTACAGGGGGAAAATACATGAAACTGTTTAAAATAGCTCCTACCAGCAAATCTAAGTCACCAGAAATAATTCTTATCCTTGGAGACTTGAATTTTTAAAACACAAATAGCCTTCCCATATAAACACAAATCCATATTTGGATGCATTTGTGATTTATGGTTTAACTTCAAGGAAACATTATTTCATGCAGAAAAGCAGATAGCCAGTAGTCATGCTTACAGGATGACTACCTTTTCTTTTTGCCCTTGCAAATTTAGGAGGCTAACAATGTATAATTGATGATTTAAGGAAAAATAACCAAAGGAGACCTGCTTAAATCACTTTATCGTAATCTTTCATTGATTAGTCTAATCAGTTTGCGTCTAGATTCTTCTATGTCTCTGTAATTCTTATTCTTCCGACTTATAAAAATTTCTAGCCTTTATCATCCTCATTTCCCTCTCCATCATTAGTCTAAATTCTGTATTTATTCAATCAACAGTAATGGAATACCGACCCGTGTATAAGGCACTAAGAATACAAAAGTGACTAAGAAAAGACCTGTGCCCTTCAGAAGTTTATAATTATAAGATTTTTAACTAGAAGGGGCTTGAGAGAGCATCCTCAATTTACAAAAAAGAAAACTGAGGTCTGGAGATATAAAGTGACCTGCTTAAGATCATGAAGTTTGTTAGCTGAGCTAGGATTCAAACTCTAGGTATATTTTCAAATTCATCTTAATCCAACAAGCATTTTTTATCTACTATATGCCAGGCACTATACTAAGTCTGCTCTCCACTACACAGAATAGGGAAGACAGTACACATACAAAGAGAATTAAAATACTATGAAGAGTACCATGAGAAAGTTCTGAACCAAATGCATTAAGAGTTCAGAGGAATGAGTACAGATGGGATGAAGAGGACAGCACATGCTCTAGGTTGGCTGGAGTGTAGGATACTTAAGGAAAGCAAGGCGAGACAAGATTAGGAAGCTAGGTCAGGTGACATGGTCTGTTGACTATGTATGCCAGTCTAAAGAAAATGATAACAGGGAGCCATTTGCTGTTTTAAAGTAGAAATATAATCAAGGCTAGGCAACAGGAAGACTGACTTTGCACTAGTGCCCTGTAGGCATCAGAGGGGGAAGATGCAAAGTGGAGAGATTTAGTTAATATTGCAATAATGACAACACTGTGTGGCAAAGGAGAAAGACAGCAGGATTTGAGGCTTCAAATCCCACTTCTGACACTACCTTGGTGTGTGGCCATGGGCAGGTGACTTAACTCTTTGGAGCCTCAGTTTCCTCATCTGTATATGGAGATCAAAATAGCACCAACCTCAAAGGGCTATTCTGTGATTCAAATGAGCTGTTATATAAAACACTTTGAAACTTAAAGCACTAAATAAATACTCCTATTATTAGAGGTAGTAGGACACACCCTACAAGATGGCTATAGATTTATACGAGACTGTATAGAAAGCTTTATAAAGCTTAAAGCACTATGTTAATTGTTGTTATTCTAATAGTTGTCTTAGTATAATGATTGTTGGAAGAGTTAAGAAGAGCCTGAACTAGGATAGAAGCAAAGGAAGAGAGAGGATATATGGCAAAGATGCTAGGACTACTGGATTTTCTTGAGCTGGAAAAGCCCAGGCTATCTAAGTGCAGTCTTATAGAAGAGGAAAGTGAGGTCCTAAGAGAGAAAGTGATTTGTCCAGGTCACAAGACAGGGGGCAGATCCTGGATTCACACTACGGTTTCTAACTTCAAATCCACTGTTTTCCCCACTATACAACACTGTTATAAAGGCAAAATCAGTATCAATCTCTTGTCATAGTTACTTTCTTCTGTTTAAGTGTGCCAAAACCTCCTTGTTTCAAATGCCCATCACCTCATTTAACCACTTTTTAAGCTACTGACTTTTTTCTTCCTTCCCTTCTTTGCTTCTAATGTTCAGAAACATGTTCCCTCCTCGTGTTCCCACTGATTCTCCTGCTCTCACTTCATCCTTCATTCCTTTTAGAAAAAGCAAAATGTTTTGTATCAGATAAGAAAGATCCATTAGAACTGGCTAGAATAGGAATTAAAGTCCTTATTCTGGCTGTTAGGGCATTGTCTGTCAATCTGCTTCAGTCCTGGGTTCAGCTAAGACTAAGTGAGCTACTTGCTAATTCTGCATTCCCTCAGTGACATGGAATAATCTCTTTTCTGTTAGTGATTCTATTCCCCTAAGTCCCCTTCCACATCTCCTTCCTCTCATCTGTTTCTTATCCCCCCATCCCCGCAACATGCCACAAAGCCTCTCTTAGAAACTCCAGTACAATCAACCCAGTTTTGCCTTCATAGATTTATATATGTGGAAACAAACCCATCTGCAGTAGGCCAAAACTCTAAGACCCATTACGTTCTGAAAAAGAGCTATCGTTAAGGGAAGAATAAATTTGTCTGTCATGATTATTACAAATTAGAGACATTCCTTCACTCATTTGTTCAACTCATACTTACTCAAGGCCTACCGACAGCTGAGCAGAAAGAGCTGCCACAAGGAAGGAGGACTGCCTTATCCCTCTTGCCCTCTTCCTTCCCCTGACCTGGGATATTCCAGACCCCACCCAAGACAGCCAGGCAGGAAGAATACCTCCATCAGAGGCACTCTGCTCCCTTGCCTCCTCCTTTGCCTAGACTCCATGACTGCTCAGAAGGTTTGAATGAGATAGAAGTCAAACACTCCATTTCTTCTGATGAAATGGAAGAAGACCAGGTCTTCCCATGTGCCCTCCTGTTCCCTAGAACTGTCCTCTTAACTACTTAAATAACCTAAGAACCTTGAGGCCTTACCATCTACCTCACCATTGCACCCTTACCACTTCTAGGCCTCTCCACCCGCCTGCAGCCAAACTTTCTTTTATGTGTTGTTTCTCCCAACTAGAGTGTGAGCTCTTTGAGAGCAGGGACCATCTTGCTTTTTTGTATTTGTATCCCCAGTGCTTAGCACAATGCTTGGCACATAGTAAGCACTCAATAAATTTGCTTTTAAAAAATTAATTAATTAGTCCACACCAAAAGGAGTCATTGTAAGAACTATTTAGAACTTTCAAGTTTTAAAAGCAGAGAAAGACAGAAGAATTAGTTCATGATTGGAAGAAATTTTTTTCAACTCAGACCTAAAAGTCCTAAAGGTTTTTATTATTTTTCTGATTTTAGGCATGTAAATCAATCTGCCAATTAGCAGAATTCCACAAGTACACATCATTTGGAATTATCACATTTTATGAGCTCCTGACAGGTGGAAATGGAATCCTTCCTTTACAATTATGCCTGGTATCACATACAGCATGTGTATATGTCAATACTTAGTGAGTGCTTAAGAAATTAGAAAGCATGATTAAATATTCCTGGTTCCAGCATGATCAGGAATAATATATAAATACTATAAAAGTTATCCTAGATACACTGAGAATATACAAACCCTTCATCTACCTTAAGATTTTTGTGGAAAGCTGGCTAAATTAGTTAATGTCTTTAATACCTCTAGTCCTTCTCTCTCACATAAGAATCATTCTCAAAATCCAATGGACCAAAAAAGAGGACACTACTATTATTGGTGCCCTATCTTACCCATGCATTGGGCAGGCCAGGAAGACTGGTCACCTTCTCCATAGGGGTCCTGTGGCTTGGTGCTTAAGGCGCTGGTGTGAAGAGCAGAGTCTGAATTGGTCCTAAGAGAGGGGAATTGGGGGAGGAGGGGAGGGGAGATTGTATGTGAATCTCAGGATCAAAAACCCTTGGGCAACATGGCCTTATTCTCTCCTTTGTAGAAATAAGCAGCATTCACCAGTAAGCATGAAAAACCAGAAGCAAAAGAATGAAGGTTTCATTTACTTCTATGTATTTTATTTGTACATTACAGGCAGCTCCAATTCTCTATGGTTGATCTAGGAAAAGATCTACTGTCCTAAAACACAACCCTCCTTCTATGAGATTTCCCAAATGTTTAAAAGGAGGTTCATATGTTCTCCAATTCTGTAATGTGAGCTTTGAGATGTCTGCTTTAATAAACGGAAAGCCAAGATAACTCTGCCTTCTTCATTGAGGAAGAACTCAGAAAGACGTCTGGATACTTCATGAATCTGTAACTGTCTGCTCCCTGGGACTAACTAACACAAGACCTAGTGCTATAACTTCTTCCCAGTCTTCTCTAGCCCATAAAGCACTGACAATTCTGTTCATGGCACTAGACTCTCCTCATTTGAGATTATTTATTCCCACGCAGAACATTAATAGCCCATTTCCAGCATTCTTGAACACAATCCTTGCCATATCTGTCAAGGGTTGCCTTGACCTCCAAGAATACTGGAGGTTTGAGCTTCATCCTAAATTCATCTCTCCAGGCTTGTCTAGGCTACAGGCTCACACTGACTTGGCAGGCCCTGCTTTTGTCTTCGTCTGGGCCATGTTTCATGCTGGGATCCATTGGTGCAAATCTGACATCCTCTGTTCCAACAGTCAAGTAAGTGAACAGTGGTATTCATGAGAGAAGTAAAACTGTAACTAACAGGAGTAAAAGGATGTCCGAGCAATTAGATCATACATAAAGAGCATAAAGATAGGCCATCTGAGTTAGCTTTTCCTGTTGCAGTCATTTATCTTGAAGAAGGATTTAGTGGGAAAGAAATACTACACCTGTTAAGTGCGGATGTCAGCCTAAATCCAGGCTGCTTCTCTTCCTTCCAAGGAGGCTGCTGCCTTTGAAAATCAAAAGAAGCAAAAAGTGAAGAGGTGCTCAATCACGAGAGACAGTGTAGTAGCAAGCACCCTGGAAACCTGGGTTCTACTCCTTGCAACCCTAGATGAGTCCCTTTAGAGACTTCAGAGAACTTCTTCTGGTTCTCAATTTCCCCATTTGTAAAATGAAGGACTAAACCAGTGGATCTCTACGGTAAATTGGTACATTAAAATAAGGGTACTAAGCATCTTCTTTTTTTTGAAGGAATTCTCCAAATAAGAATGACAGCTTTCTTATTTAATGACCAACTGACCACAGACCAAAAATGAGTGGATATTAACCCAAAGGCATAAGCTACTACTTTTATGCCCTAAATGTACAAAAACAACTTTTGGCTATTTGAATGCAAAGGGCCCCATTCAAAGGATCAAGTAATGGAGGATAGTAGAACCATATAATGGTAATGGCTCTCCAGCTTAGCAGAACAAGGACAAGTTCAGCTGGAAAGCATGAGGCATCCTCACTTGATATAAACTTTTCTGTACAAAGAAATGTGAGCCCTTTGAGGCCTGAATTGTTTCCTATCATACCTGTCCCCTTAGTGCCTGGCCCAGTGCCTGCTACATTGTGGTGTTTGCTGACTGACTACGCCTCAGAGAGCCCTAGGCTGAACCTCCACACTGAGGCAGCTTAGAGCAGCCTAAGTGCCTTCTGGAGTCTCTCATCATAATGCTTGTTGTGCTTCCTGGGGAAGAAGACTTGACTTTCCCTCTTTCAGCAACAGAGTTACAAAACAATCATGAAGTACTTGCACTTCATAAGACTAGATTTTAAGCCCATTGCTCCAGATCTCTGTATACCATAAGGATTTACAACCCTAAGGTTGCCCAAGAAAAATTCAATAAACTTTGCATCTGTCTGAGATTGTTGCTCTGGAGTTCCCAAAGATGATGAAGTCACAGGACTAGACACACCCTGTTCAACAATGTTCCCTCCTAAACAGTTTTGCAACAACAGAAATTTCTAGATTTTTCACTAGAAATATGTATCATTCCAAAAGGACAATATGGGTGCAAATACCCCATGCCACCCCAGCTTTAACAATGTGTCTTGCTTACCTCGTCCAACTCTCATCCCCAGGCTGGGCAGGGTAATTGGCTCCATAAGAACTGCTATCAAAGTGGAACTGTGAGTGAAGGAAATGCAGGGGAAACCCCTGCCTGCAACAGCAAAAACACAATGGAGGGGCTGGGGTTACCCAGGAGCCAAATGCAATATTTATTAAGGATTTGCCTCCTCTCTGCCTTCTCCCTCTAGGCCTTCCTGCCCCGTTGTCCTCACTGCCCTCCAGCAGTCAGGGGACCTCTCTTTACATGCCCCCAGCCCTAGTTTTCCTGTAGCTTCTTGAATTTCTTACTGTGCTTTGACAAAAGCAAAAATAAAATGCCAAACAAAAACGTCTTTCAGTTGAGGTTCAGGGCAAAGCAGTTCATCTTATGCAGATGATGAGAGACCTGCCACCATTGGGGGTGCTGTAAATTTGATTCTATGACATCTTCTCCCAACTCAAAAGTTATATAAGTACAGCGCTTTAAAGAAATTTAATATGGGCAAAAAAAAAATGGAGGTGGGAGGAGGGTGGAAGGAAGGAAATTAGCAATACTTTTTCATATAACTGGATAGCCCGTAACGTTGCATAACCAGGCAAGACACCACTGTTGTAGGGCTTTAATAAGTAAAAATACACTAATATACAAAATTTCTTATCGAAACAGAGGCCACCATATTTGGTAAAAACTTCTCTTCCTATTCATTCTTAATCCCAGCTTTTGTGTATGGGTTTGTGTGTGCAAAGATTTTTTTTTCATTCTAAATCAAATGACTAGCCACAAAAACAAACAAAATAAAAACGAAGATCGCTGTCCTGAAGTCAGAAGACCTGGGTTGAAATCTTTCCTCTGATGTTTACTACCTGTGTGACTTAGGACAAGGCATGTAACCTTCCAAAGTCTCACGTTCCTCAACTGGAAAACGAGAGTGTTGGCCCAGATGGTCTGTGAGGTCACTTTCAGCTCTAGACCTATGATCCTATTGTAAAGCCATCAGCTCTAAACTATCAACAGTTTATTCTTTTAAAGTATATGTAACTTGAATATAATAGTAACAAAAACACCCCATTTCCTCGTGTCACCTTCTGGTCTCCATTTCTTCTGTGTATTTTTAAAATTGTGCTGCTATTTTTCATATACTTATGGTTTCCTATGTATACTCTTGGCCTGATTCTGCCTTCTTCACTGTCCGTCACTTCATGTGAGTCTTTCCATATTGGATATTCTTGACATTCACTTCTTACAGAGCAATAAAGCTCTGCCACTTACTATGGAATTCTGGGGTGGGTTTTACAATGCCAAATGCAACGTTCTTTCCACAGCGTAAAGAAATTTTACTTTAGAGTCCACAGTTATTTGTTATTATATCTATAACAGACTTTTCCCATTTCTTTCCTTCTTACTGTTTTGGATGTAATACATTTTGTTGCTAATCTGGTACCTCAAGTGACTTGGCAAGCCTTGGTTCTCAAAGCCGAAGCTGGTGGAGCATGAGTTCTGACAAGTCCTACTTACCAAGCTAGAAGGCTTTGTGCACGGGGTCTGATACTAATAACTAGTATTTATTTAAGGTTTAATGTTAGCCAAGTGCTTTACAAATATTATCTCATTTTATCTTCAAGACAAAGTTAGGTGGTAGGTGCTATTATTTTCCCCTTTCAATAGATGAGGTAACTGAAAACAGAGGTCTGTGTCTAGGATCACACATCTAGTGTGAGAGGCCAGATTTGAACTCGGGTTTTCCTGATTTAAGGTATAGTGCTCTGATTCAATGCATCATCTGGTGACCGCCTACTTATACAGAGTAAGGGATCCATAAACATGTTTATTTTTTATTAATTCAAATAAAATAGACTTAAGATAATCTCTGGATAGCTAGGGAATGGAAGATTTCTGTCCTCCAAATAGTATTCTCAGTTCTAGTTTTATTTTTAGAAGGAAGCCAAGATTATTATCAGGTAACTCAAGTAAACATGAGCTTTACAAACTAAGGTACCCTACTAAACTCATACTGTTTTTGCATAAATATCTTTCAAATGTGAAGCACACTTCAGACACCTTTAAAAAGCTACTCTGTCTTTTCTAATGGCAGATGTTACTATTAAAAGATTTACAATTAGGCTCCAGAGTAAAGAGTTATGCAGTAAACCTAGAGAGGAACAAATTCAGAAGCAAGCAGCAGTGCTGTGGCTTAGACACCTCTCAGACCACAGGAGTAGAAGGTGGTCTCAGGTTCATCCAGTCCAGTCTGAAGCTGCAGAGGAATTACCAGGGTAGAAATCGCAGCTCAAAAAAGAGCCTACAGTTCTTCTCTTAAACTGGCTGATAGGGGCTGAGTTTCAGGAGCAATTTATTGTTGCCCAGACCCAAACTCAGGTCAGGAACTTGCAGAGCTCAAACCAGTGGTGGGCAGCAAATATGACTCTGTCCTAGATCAGTCCCTTTTGGGTGCAATAAAAGCTTGCAGGTCCCTAGATTGGAATAACACAGCACTTAGTACCCCAAGAAACCCGATGTGTACAGTAACTGACCCTAACATCAAGCTGAAAGTCAGGAAGGAAACTGAAGAATGAGCAAACAAAAAAAAGAGCTTTTATGGTGACGGGGATGCTCAAGACACAAACATGGAATACAGAAATGACTCCAAAACATCCACAAGGAAAGCCTCCAAGAAAAACACAGCACAGGCAAAAATTTACCCAGAATTTTTGGAAGAGATGAAAAGTACGGAAAAAAGAAGTTAAAAATATTTGGGAAACATTTAGAAAACAAATGAGAGCTATGGAAGAAAGAATTGGAAAGGGAATTAACAGGTTGGTACAAGGTACATAACCATGCCTGAGCAACAAACTCTGAAAATTAGGATGAGCCAAACACAAACTAATGATTTCATGAGACAACAAGGAACATTAAAAACAAAGTCAAAGGATTGAAAAAAAAGAAGAAAATATAAGGTACTTAAAACAAAAATGATGTGAAAAACAGATCAAACAAAAAAATGCAAGAATCACTGGACTAAAAGTCATAACCAAAAAAAGAGCCTAGACATCATATCTCAAGAAATCATAAAAGTAAACTGTCTAGACCTCTTAGAAGCAAAGGGAAAAGTGTCATTAAAAGAATACACTAGTCACTTCCTGAAACTTTCAAATGAAAATTCCCAGTAACATTAGAGTCCCAAACTCAAAGCTTCTATGTCAAAGAAAAAATACTACAAGCAGCCAGAAAGAAAAAAATTCAAGTACTGAGAAGCCACAGTCAGGAATACAAGATTTAACATCCACCACAGAAAGAAAGGGAGATCTTGGAATATGATATTCCAAAAGGCAAAGGACATAGGCTTACAGCCAAGAATATCTTGCCCATCAAAACTGAGTATAATCCTACAAGGGGGAAAATTTGATCTTTAATGAAACTGGGGAATTCTAAGCATTCTTCATGAAAAGTTCAGAGCTATATAGAAACCATGAAGTTTAAACACAGGAGTAAAGAGAAACATAAAAAGGCAAATACAAATGAATAATTGTAAGGGACTAAACGAGGCAAACTGTTTACATTTTAATATGGGGAAATGATACCTGTGTCTCTACTCAATCCTATCATCATCAGGGGTCGGAGGAGGAATCAAAGTAGACAGAAGACCTGGAGTGGTTCTGTTATATCTTGATCTTAAACGAGGACTAGAAAAGGAGTAAGTAAAGTGAAAGCAGTAGTAAGTAAAGAAGACTAGAATAGAAATACACTAGGGGAAAGGAAAAGGAAAGTTAGGGGAAATGTTCTCATGTGATCTGGCTGCACAAAAAGAAGTCTATACGAACAAGAGAGATGGGGGGAACAGTTGACACTTGAACCTCACTCTCATCTATAATGATTAAAGGAGAGAAAACTGCACACACACAGTTAGGAAGAGAAATACATTTCATTCAATGGGGAAATAGGTAGGAAAAAGGAGAAAGAGGAAGGGGGAAATTAGAAGAAAGATAGAGTAAGGAAGGGATTGGTTCTAAGAAAAACAAACCCTAAGGAGATACTATATTAAAATATTTACAGCTCTTTTTCAGGTGGCAAAGAGTTGTAATCTGAGGGGGAGTTCATTAATTAGAGAAAGGCTGAACAAGTTATGGTACATAAAAGTGATGGAATACGACTATGCTATAAGAAATTATGAAGAAGCTAGTCTCAGAGAAACCTAGAAAGCCTGATACAGAGTAAAGTGAACTGAACCAGGAGAACAATTCATACAAGGACCATATTTAGCTTAGCACAGTGCCTGGCATACTTAGGTGCTTAATAAATGTTTACTGACTACTAAAGAACTCTGATCAGCATAATGACTAACCACAATTCGAAGGGACTAATAAAAAAAACATGTTACCCACATCCTGACACAGAAGTGAAGGACTAAGTGCAGAATGATACATGTATATGTGTGTCTGTGTATATGAATGACCTGGTCAATGTGGAAATCTGTTTTTGCTTGACTATACCTGTTTATAACTGGTTTTGTTTTTCTTTCATTCTTTATGGGGTGAGTGAGGAGTCAGAAAAGGCAGATTTTTGCTGATTAAAAAAATGAAATTAAAAAAGTTTTTTTTAAAAGGAAATGATTTCTGAAATACTAATCATTAGGCTTGCCGTGCATGAAGTACAAAGGAGTAAGCATACTATAAAAGGAGAAGGCAAGGGAAAAAGTGACAAGGAAGCAAAGAAGGGAATTGAAAAAACAAACTCTACAGTGCATTTAGACTGCACACCCACAGGATACATTGCTGGTCTTAACAAACTGTGTTCGTTCATTTATTTGCTCTCTCCATGTACCCTGTAAAATTAATTTCTTTCTGATTTGTTAGGTCTAACTATATGTCAACACTAAGCCCACTATATTAGTGATAAAAATTAGACACCCAACTATGAAGGCTCCTATTTTTACATTTACAAAGTGCTTTTTCATACATTGTTTTAGATCCTTATAATACTAAAAGTTAGATAGTACAAGTACTATACATATATAAGGACATTCAGGTTCAAAGAAATTTTCCCAATGATAAGTAGTACATTTTCTTATTCTAAT